ACCACAAGATGAGATGGAATAGCACTGCGAATAGATTTTGTTTGTCCTCTGCTTAACCAGGCAGGGTGATGTTCGGAAATTCGACGAGAAACACGCTAAATTGTACGGCCTATATAACTGGCTCCACAGGAACAGTTAAATTCTCAATTTCGCCTTAAGAGTTGGATTACTAAATATTCCTGAGGCTGTGGGGATCCATATTGACAAGCCTAATTTGTACATCCAAAAGAAGCCAGTTCAGACATTATCTTTACCTTGACCATCTAGGTTCGAATGATCCTCAACTTTTTGTAGAAATTCCCCTAATTTTCGTTGATATTCTATTTTCTATTATATTTTTATGCTCATTATTATAATTTAAGCATCTTTAATGTACTGTAATTCCATTGTGATCTTACTTTACAAATCGATATTATTTAAAAAAAACACCAATATTGTTATTGACTACTATTCTAGAATATTCTATGTATATATAATTGTAGAGCCAGAAGAGGAATTTATCGAAAAGGATATACTTTGCTAAATTATTTTGTGATATATATATATATATGTCATGAAGTGAAGAGTTAGAATTCATAGGTTGTCCATTGGATTCCGTCCAAGTGGCTAAATGGTTAACGCACAGTAGTTAAACACACACAATTGTAACACTCGTACCCAGAATTATTATTTCCCTTTTGCCCAATGAGGTGGTTTGAGCTAACTCTCCATCCTACATCCCCCCGCCCTCCAGCACACAGTGACTCCATTATCTGAAAGGTACATCGTGATAATGATCAACTACTCCGTTTAATAGATGAACGAAACACCCATCTCGTGTGTGTGTGTGTGTGTGGGGGGGAGTGCTTAGCTAGATCCTGTAAATCAGTCCGTCTAATGAGTACTATTCTTAACTACTCATATCAATCAGTAAGTAGTATATATCGCACCATTTATAGATGTCTAGAAGATCATATATTCATTGCACGGGTATGTATTATTATTATTATTGTTCCCTTGGGTTCCTAGTGGAACATAGGGCTTCAACTACACGTCTCCACTTTCTTCTGTCTTCTGCTGTACTTTTCACTTGCATCCATGTTGGTCCATACTGTTTCAGCTCCTCTTCACACGATCTCCTCCATGTCACCCTTAGACGTCCCACCCGCCGCTTCCCTTTCGGGTTCCACTCGACAGCCTGACGCGCGATGTCACCCAGCGGCCTCCTCAGCGAGTGTCCAATCCATCTCCACTTTCTCCTGCATATTTGTTGAGCGACTGGTTCTTGTTTTGTTTGTTCTCATAGTTTCTCGTTGGTTCTTGTTCTTTCCGGCCATCTGATGTTCAGTAGTATAGAGCGAAGACAGTTGTTGATAAAGGTCTGCAACAGGCTGTTGGAAATATTCTTTGTGACCCGCCGCCAAGTTTCTGATCCATCCGTATAGAAGAACTGACTGACTTGACGTTTGTATTGAAAATCCGAATCATTTTGTTGTTGATGCAGGCTGAGTGATGAAGATTTCCAGATTGGTTTCAGTTTGGTGAGTGTCTTTCTGGCCTTCCCGATTCTCGATTTGACATCTTCGTCCGTTCCTCCTGTATAGTTGAGACAATGCTCCCTAGATAAGTGAATGAAGTAACCTCTTTCAAATCCCTCCCGTTGATGGTGATTGGCGTTGGATGTCGCTCTTGTTGTTGTTGTTGGTTGGTTATTTTCATAACCTCCGTCTTGTCTATGTTCACCTGTAGTCCCGTCTTCTCCGGCTGCTTCTTCGACCAGTTTGTCGGTTTTCGCTTGTAAGTCTTCGCTTTTGTGTGACATCAAACATAAATCATCCGCGAAATCCAAGTCTTCTAGGTTCTTCACGTCTTCTCGTTTCTTACTGTCTGACGCATAATCCAGTCCACCACAATTAGGAATATCATTGGTGATAATAAGCACTCTTGTCTGACTCCTGTGTTTACTCCAAAAGCCTCGCTGAGTTTTCCGTTGTGGATCACTTGACATGTGCCGTTGTCGTACAGCTGTTGAATAAGGTCGATGAATATTTGGGGTACGCCGTAGTACTCGAGTAGTTTCCAAATTACTTCGCGGTCAACGCTGTCGAAGGCCTCCTCAAAGTTTATAGAGTTGAGGTAGGGGCATGGATATGTGTTCTGAATAATTCCAAAATGAAACTTGAAGATGTAAGTTTAAATACAAATCGTTCAATGTGACTCCTCTTAATATCAAAATTTATAATTTGATGTCACGCATTACCACCACTTCACCCAAGTAGCTAGCTAGTAAGACTTAGGATGATTTGAACAATGGCTCAGCACACTGATCTGAAGTAAACCGGACACACCACTGATAAGCTCGGTTATAAAAGAGCAGAAATATCTCCTGCATGTTAACGTCAAACCACCACGAAAAACTCTGCCTTTTCTATTCGTGATACTAGTCGATAGCCTCTTCAGTATGTTTCTAATCTATCCCTCTCCATTTCTTTCCGCATATTTATATTCAGCAATGGGTTCTTGGTTGATTCGTTGGCAAAGTTCCTATTCTGTCTAGCCATCCGATATTCTGTAAGGAACGAAGGTATCCATTGATCAAAGTCTGAAGCCTTTTGGAAATGCCTTCGATGACACACCAAATCTCTAAACCACATAGAAGCATTGAGTGATTTGATGTTGGTGTTGAAAATCCGAATCTTGTTGTTTATGCTGAGTGCAGACCAATCAAGGCAACTCTTACCTTTCCAACACTGTCCAGCTTTGACATCACCATCCATGTTGCCTCTAGTTGAAACGAGGTGACCCAAACAAGTGTAAGAGATGACGTCCTTTAGATGATATCTCCCATTGACCGTGGTTGATGCCCACTGTCGCTCTGTCTCATCCATCTTGACTTGAAGTCTCATCTTCGTTGGTTCTTTTTGTCAACTTGTCAGTTTTCGTCTACAGATCTTTGTGCTTGTCTGACATTAGACATAAATCGTCCACAAAAGCTCAAATCTACTGGTATTCTTACAACGTACATGCATCTTCTCACTCACCACGCTGTGCGGCATGATCCAGTGCAACACAATCAGAGATAGCAGGCAGTCTTATCATCTTACTACTGTCTTCCCTTCAAAGGCTTTGCTGATGATAGCAAGTGACTGATTAGAACTCAGGGTTTTTCTTCCTTCACGTTCCCCAGTGGAACATTGGGCCTCACGCTAGTGACTTGAAGTTTCTGTAGCAGTGGCGTTTATTTTACAGGATGGGGTTGCTAGCCACCTCATGTCCTCCAACCTTTCCTCTTTATCAGCATTATTTCTGGCTCAGCGAGGTAAAGGAGTGTGGCGTCGGTGGCCGGGGATCGAACCCCGGACCATGTGCATGGTCGGCGAGCGTCCTAACCGCTATACCACCGACGCACCAGGTGGTGGTTACTCGGAGATAATTTTTCCCCATGTACCAGGGGGTATCGAGACACACTTATTATGTAGGCGAGGGATGGTAAATACCATTCCCTCCACCAAATTGTCTGAGCAGATTGAAGTAGATGGAGTGGGACTGTAACCCAGCTCCTAACGGCTAAGAAGTTGAGTGTTTAAGTCTAATGACAGACATCACTACAAGTGATAGTCAAAGATTTAAATTCATAAATCTACTTAATTGAAGGATGATAATATACGCAAACATACACAGGCATTCATTGGTAATTAGTGCCATAAAAAGAAGAGAGGAAAAGGAAGGAAGTACAATGGAAGTAGTAATTCCATACAAGGAAGGAACCTCGGAAGCCTTATGCGGAATTCTTAACAAGGCAGGAATAAAAGTGGCTGGCATTCAAACCAACCACAAACTCAATTAGAAACAAGCTTTGTTGGCTAAAGGATCCTGTAGAGCCTTTAAAACAAAACAATTTAGTTTATCTAATATACTGCCTGCAATGATTGTCAGGTGAAATACATAGGTCAAACTAGTAGAACAGGGGCAGTCAGACTAGCAAAACATAAAAACTTAGCAAAATCTAGATTGGTTGACCCGAATAAGATAAGAAATCTACAGAATAGTTCAGCTATAGCACTCACTACATGCAGTCACACACAACCATACAATAGGATGGGATAGGATGACAGTTTTAAAATCTAATACAACTAACATGGTGGAGGGAGAGTTTGATAACAGAAGCTTTGTTTACCGAATCACCTGAGAGTGAATACGTGTAATAGGAATGATTCAACACCTGTCCCCGATATCTGGAAAATTCTACTACCCCTACGACAAATAGGAGAGAACAAAGAAAACTATAAAACTCAAGTTTCAAAGTTGTGTGATTACAATTGATATGATTATGAATAGTAATAAATTTTGTTCGAAACGTTATCCAGTAAATACTAATACTGTTTCACTATGTGATATATCTAATAAACAAACTAATATGGAAGGAAGGACAAAAATGAAAAAAAAACATTATAGATTAATCTGGACTGTATACACACACTTACCACTGAAACTATACTTCCTGTTAGTTAAAGCAATCAACTCTTGTATGAAGAGAATACCTGCAGCAGCCAAATCAGAATCTTCAGCCTTAATTAAAACAGAAAGAGAGAGAGAGAGAAACAAAGAGAAATAATACGGCGAAACACAAAGATAATATGTATATACTTATATAATTATTATTATTGTTCCCTTGGGTTCCTAGTGGAACATAGGGCTTCAACTGCACGTCTCCACTTGCTTCTGTCTTCTGCTGTACTTTTCACTTGCATCCATGTTAGTCCATAATGTTTCATCTCCTCCTCACACGATCTCCTCCATGTCACACTTGCACTGACGTCCCACTCGCCGCTTCCCTTTCAGGTTCCACTCGACCTATGGCCTGACGTGCGATGTCACCCAGCGAGTGGCCTCCTCAGCGAGTGTCCAATCCATCTCCACTTTCTCCTGCATATTTGTTGGGCAATTGGTTCCTGTTTCGTTTGTTCCCACAGCTTCTTGTTTGTGATTCTTTCCGGTCATCTAATCTTCAGTATGGAGCGAAGACAGTTGTTGATAAAGGTCTGAAACAGGCTGTTGGAAATATTCTTGGTGACCCGCCAAGTTTCTGATCCGTAAAACAAAATTGACTTCACGTTTGTATTGAAAATCCGAATCACTTTGTTGTTGATGCAGGCTGAGTGACGAAGATTTCCAGATTGGTTTCAGGTTGATGAATGTTTTTCTCGCCTTCCCGATTCTCGATTTGACATCCTCATCCGTTCCTCCTGTAATTGAGACAATGCTCCCTAGATAAGTGAATGAAGTAACCTCTTTTAAATCCCTCCTGTTGATGGTGATTGGCACTGGATGTTGCTGCTGCTGTTGTTGTTGTTGGTTGGTTATTTTCATGACCTCCGTCTTGTCTATGTTCACCTGGAGTCCTGTCTTTGCTGCTTCTTCGACCAGTTTGTCGGTTTTCGCTTGTAGGTCTTCGATTTTTACTTATATAATTGATGTAGTGTAATTTAAGCCAATAGGAGGTGTGAGACAAAGGAGTAGTAATAACTGTTCGTTCTTCGTTATTACTACTCCTTTGTCTCACACCTCTGTTTACTGTCTATATTATGCATTTCTCCTACTTTCTTCTCTTGCTTTGTGTGCTACATGGAGTGTGGCGACTTGAACTGCCGCACATCAGTGCAAAGTTCTATGTCGAAAACAGACAGACAGACAATAGGAGTTTATGTCAATATATGTATATATATATATATATATATCGACAGGATTTTATCACAGCTAATTGTTATATTAGGGCACACTCTCTCTCTCAATTACACAGTTACTATTGTCAGGACAGGAATATGCTAGACCACCGGGGAGTAAGTAGACTCTCTAGAAGATCTCGATTTCACAGATGATATATATGTCTAGTGTTACACAAACTCGTAGACTTGTGGGTAGGTGAAAACTAACAAACTGGCTGAAGAAGCAGTCAGATAAGACAGGACAACAAGTGAATGTAGAGAAGATGGAGGGCAATGAAGATAACCAACTAACCAATCAACCAACCAACAGCGACAACAACCAGCGCCAATCACAATCAACGGGAGAGATTTGAAAGAGATTGTTTCTTGATTCCACTTATCTAGGAAGCATCGTTTCAACCACAGACAGGCGGAACGGATGAAGATGTGAAAACCAGACAGACAGACAGCCAGAATCGGAAGAGTAAGATACATCTTCATCAACTTGAAACCAGTTTGGAAATCTTCTACACTCCGCATCAGCTAGCATGAAGAACAAGATTTGGATTCTGTTGAACACAAATGTGAATTCAGCCAGTCAGTCAATTGTTCTATACGGGTCGGATTGGATTGCTTTGGCGACCTCACTTACAGACGGCGGGCCAGTGTCTATGTCCCATTCGGGTGTGTGCTGGATAGCGGGGAGGCTCAGTGTGGCTGTAGGCAAGTTAAACTGTTCCTCGAAGTGTTCTTTCCAGCGTTCGAGGCGTCTATCCTGAGAGCTAATTAAGGAGCCATTTTACTCACAAATAGTTTCACTTATGATTTGCCTTCTCCCACCCGTTTCCCTGATGAGTCTAAAGAGTTGCCTAGTGTCGCCTATCGCCGATGCTTTTTCCATCTCTTTCGCCTTTGTCAACCACCACTGTTCACCGTCCTTGCGGAGACTTTTCGTAAGTTTCCTTTTGTGCAGCTTTCGCTCCTCATTGAATTCGGAGCTCGCCGGAATAAGTCTTCTAGCATCTATCAGTTCGGATGAGGCAGTCGAAATCCAATGGTTTTTACTCACCTTTGGATTTACCTTATTCACAGCTTTTACAGCTGTATCTATGGCTGACTGAATATTCTTCCAGGCTTCTTCAGGGTGAGCGCAGCTGTCGAACTCAGATATGTGTTTAGCTAGTTCTTCCTCAAATAGGGACTTAGTTTCCTGATCGAGCTGGGGACGTGATGGATTTACCGCTAGCTGTTTCCTACGTCAGTTCAGTCGTAAGCACACACGAGCGCGGACCAGTGCGTGATCGGTATCTACACACGTGTTCCAGAAGGAGCGACAATCCCCTACAGACCCACGTCAACGATAGCTTATTGCTATGTGGTCTATTTGTGTCCAGCGTTGGTTTGATGATGGAGGTCGCCAGGTCAAACAGTGTCTCTCCTTGTGTTTGAAGTTAGTGCTTACAAGAAACAAGTGATTATCTGAACAGAACTGTAGGAGACGGTCACCGTTGTCGGTTCGCTGGCACGGAATTCCGTATGTGCCACCGACATTCTTCTCAGATTGACACAATTTCCCTACTTGAGCATTAAAGTCACCAGCTAAAACGACTATATCTGAGCGTTTAGCCTTTCGCAGCAAACTAGACAGCTTTTGGTAGAACTCATCCTTCGTTTCATCCGAACTGCAGTCCGTGGGGGCGTAGGCGGAGATTACGAAAAGGCATCGGCGAGTAGTGCAGTCCTTTCTCCTTTTCACTGATCCGTTCAGACGGACAGCACACATTCGGCTATCTACCGGGATCCAGTCAAGTAATGTCTTTTCTGCCCTAGTACTCAAAGCTATCCCAACACCAGCTAATTCTCGTGAGCTAGCCGTCGCATCTCCTGACACCCTCAAGTTGAATTTTGAAGATTCATCCTGTTGGCCAGGTGGGGTTAGGTGAATAACCACACTTGGGTCTTGTATGCGTGTTTCTGAAACACAACATACATCAATGGCTCGGGATGCCAGAGTCTTGGCTAGTGATGCCTGTTGTCCTATTTGGCAAAGTGTCCTAACATTAAATGCCCCTATATGAAATTGGTGACGTGACTTTAGGAGACTATCGATGGTGGTTTTTCGGCTTTCGTCGTTTTCAGTGCACACAGAGTGAAGAGGAAGTGAAGAGCCATTAAGTAGAGGAGTTGCATTAGTAGAAGGAAGGCAACATAATAGAGATGAAGATGAAGACAAAGATGAGTGAGGATTAGAGAGGTTTCGCGTGCACTTCGGATTGTGAGGGCTATTGTTACTTCCCGGCTGCCCACACCGTGGAAGATGGTTGGAGGCAATCGGCAGGAAGCCTCTATACGGGTCAGAAACTTGCACTGCACGTGAGTCACGAGAAGGATTTGTAACAGCCAGTTACGGACTTTTATCAACAGCTGTCTTCGCTGACTGTATATTGAAGATCAAATGACTGGCCGGAAAGCCAGAAAGAGTTAGCCACGAGAAACTCTGGCTAGGAGCAAACCGAAAGATAAGAGCCAATCGCTAAATAAATATGTAGGAGGAAATGGAGATGAATCGGGCATTCGCCACTGAAGAGGCGGTTGAATGACATCGTGCGCCAGGCGTTTCAGTGGAATCCAAATGGGAAGTGACGCGGGGGTCGTTGGAGCGACGGTGACATGGAGGAAACCGTGTGTTGGGTAGGAGGAGGAGATGAGAGATTATGGTCAATCGTGGACCCATTTGAAGAGGACAGCAGAAGATAGAAGAAAGTGGAGGTGTGCTGTTGAAGCCCTAAATTCCACTCGGGACCCAAGAGAATAATGATATAATAATACATAATATACTGTCAGGACTAACTAAGACAATCTTCGTCACTCAGCATCAACAACAAAATTCGGATTTTCAATACAAACGTCAAGTCAGTCACTTTATGCACGTGCGTCTAAGTATAAAAATTCCACTATACCATATTTAGCACGTACTCTATGTGATGAAAATAGTGTCAGAAATGAACTAACTAACCTTCTTAGCACCACTAAATAGACCATTTCCTTCAACCTTAAAGCATCATACTTTATTGTTATTGTATTTCTTATATTTATGATCCTCTCAATTTTTTCGTTTTGTTTATTTTATTTTTCATAAGTGTGGACATAATTTTAAGCTGTATTACGACTGTTAACTTTGTATTTCACCTCACTATACCATATCAACAGAACATTAGACCCAATTATCCATAACATGCTAAAGTTTCCAAACTGAATCGACAATACCGTTTGAAAGAAACTCACTGTTATTATTGTTATTATTATTATTATATCTAATAATTATGTCGTTAATGTGGACAAATTCCTCCGATTAACTTTTGTTTTAATTTTAAATTTTATATACACTTTGAGTAAATCAGATGCAATATTGTGACAAATGCTGAGAATTCCATTCTGTATTATAAGTACTGTTTTTGGAATAAAGTAAATTATTATTCTTATTATTCTATGTGGATCAGAAACTTGACGAGTCACAAAGAATATTTCCAACAGCCTGTTGCAGACCTTTATCAACAACTGTCTTCGCTCTATACTCAAGATCAGATGACCGGAAAGAACAAGAACCAACAAGAAACTATGGGAAGAAACAAAACAAGAACCAATCGCCCAACAAATATGCACGAGAAAGTGGAGATGGATTGGACACTAGCTGAGAAGGCCGCTAGGTGACATCGCGCGTCAGGCCAGTGCTCGAGTGGAACCCGAAAGGGAAGCGGCGAGTGGGACGTCCAAATGTGACATGGAGGAGATCGTGTGAAGAAGAGTTGAAACAGTATGGACTAACGTGGATGCAAGTGAAAAGTACGGCAGAAGACAGAAGCA